CCCAGTAACGTGTTTGGACTGACTTATCTAGTGCGGTCGCATACATCTGGGGAGATTGCATGACGCATCGAAACGTGTTTTCTCGCAAAAACACGGCGTTGATCCGTCGCTTTCTGGAGATAAGACGCACTCTATCTTGTTGTCGATGTTTTTTAAGTTGCTTTTTGACAATTCGTGCATGAGAACTGTGGACACGGCGCGTTACGTTGACAATAATATGATTAGACGTCACTGCATGTTAGCTGAAAGCCACACAAGCAGACATGCTTTGCCTTTGCCGTCGAAATCGCGGTATATCTCGTTTCCGTTGTGACTAGGGGCTAAGACAGACTAAATGGATCCTTAATTGCTATGCAATCATTTCCGAATCCAAACCAGGCGTAAGCCCGCTTAACCGATCCGACATAGGTAGCGGTCGAATCAGGGCGTGACGTCGCAAAATAAGCTAGGGTGTGGGTAGGGGAGAGAGCAGGTAAAATGGTTAAGCCTTCCCCAACATACACGAAAAAGGGGTTCTCCCCGAAATCGACCCTCTTCCTTCTCGAGGTGTGACGGTAGTGGTTGATGTGGGAGGGGGATGAGGGAGGTAGACAACTGAACCAAAAACTGCATTTTTGAACCGAACATAGTCTTTCAGTATTTGATCTTCCTTGAGTGGATCCGAAAATCTGCTGGCCTATATGGAGGCTGTACCACGGATTTGCGGTCGGGAGAACGCAAAGTTTGGTAAGTCGCTTCCTTCCACGGAATGTGATAGATGCCGTGTTAAATTCTGCGTAATTGGAGACAAGTGACATCATCACGCACGTCGAAATGTGGCTTGCGCTGCGGGTACGCTGGATCGCGGCTCTCACCTGGTGACGGCACACAAGGGTCTTGTTTCCCTCCGTGTGGGGGTGCTGGCCGCTCTGTCAGTGCTATATTGTCCGTGTTTCTTGGCTCACCTCACCTGCGCAGTGCACGTCGGTGGAGTCGCTTGTGCTCAAGCAGCACAGTGTGCCGCGTGCCCGTCTGCAACGCCGCTCCAGCCACGTGTCGGCCGTTTCAGGGCGACTCGCAGGATTTCATCGAGCTGCTGGCGCGGCTGCAGAACAGCCGGCTGGACGACCAGCGCTGCGTGCTGCCCGCCTACTTCAACGCCTCGGTGAGTACGCAGCTCGCGAGCCGGAGTCCTCCGACTCGGTCCCGGTCCCGGTCCCGGTCCCGGTCCCGGTCCCGGGGGCGTGAGGCCCGGCCCGGCCTGGCGGGTCGGGTTTTCACTCCAGCGACTCAGAACGCACGGGCGGCGTGAAGGCGGTGACGCTAATAGCCGGCATAGTTAGCGCGACTCCGTGAAGGCATCTGCCGCGTGGATAGCCGGACGCGTATGGATGTCGCTTATCCCCGGGCCTTGTCTCTGGAGGCTTAATGGATGTCCTCGGTGGCCCGCTCAGACAGCGGAAGCTATTGTTCTCCTCTGCTTGCTCACGTTAGGGTTCTGGCGGCCCCGCGAACCTCCCGAACTGAAAATGACAAAATGATGCGGAAGGCTTCGCTCCTGCGCCTTTGTCCGGCTTATCAAGATGTGTAATGTGACATTTACCGAGCAAAACCATTGATAAATCGAAGGAGGTCAGAAGGTTAAAAAGACTGCGACTGACTTCTCTCGCTTTGTATGGAAACCAGGGGCCCGTGTCGTTTGACAACGGGCGTTTCCCGGTCTTTGGAATGTCCCAGTTGTCAGATTCTCCGTGTCGATTATCGGGTATTTGTTCGGGCATGTCAAACGGGTTGTTTAGGGTTGTAGGGTGGTATTCAGTCTTAAGCGTCATGGCCATTGACGTTAAATGATCTGTCGCGATTTTCGGATGGTCTGTCCGAGAGTGTGGAGTGGTTTGTCCCGGAATGTTGGATGGTCTGTCCAGAAGTGCCGGATGGTCTGTCCCGGAATGGTGGCTGGTCTGTCACGAAATGTCAAATATCCTGCTCCTGAATGTCGGATGGTCGTCAGTCCGGAGTATCGGATGGTTTGTCCCTGAGTGTCGGATGGTCTGCCGCTGCGGGTGCATGGTGGGATGGTCTGTCGCTACGGGTAGCGGATGGTCCGTGCCGGAATGCCAGACGGGCTGTCTCGGAACGCCGGTCTTTCCCGGATCCCGGACTGTCTGATGGCCCGTCTGTGGTCTGCCCGGGATCGCTTCCTCCCACCCCCGCCGTCGGGCGGCCCGCAAGCTTGGTTGAATCACCGCCTGAGGGCGCTGCGGCGGCGGCTCGATCCGGCCCGCCCCGCCGCCGCTCCCTCCGTCGCTGCTCGGAGCGCCAGGCGGCTGACCCCGGGTCCGACCCGACGTCTAGCATCGCTGCAGCTGGCCGGCACACCACCTGTCCGCGGGGGTTGCGTCGCTACTTTCGCTGTGTGCTGCTGACGAGGTTCGGACGGGTCGGCGCGGCGCACCTGCGGGCTGTCGACGCTGCGGCCATCTGCGGCTCTTTCTCTCTCTCACACTCGTCAGCGGCGGACCGCCAGCCTCGTGGCTGATGTATGCGGCCGCCCGGCGCCGCCGGTCGCACGTCACGTGTCGTAACACGGCGGGGGGTGGCCAGCCGGCATCTGTTTTCATTACGCGCCGGCCGACCACACGTGATTCAGCTCGGCGCGCGCCATCGGGAAATAAATGACGCCGGCTGTCACGAACTGTTGGTGGGAGGCGTGTCCTCGACCTCGTTCTTTCGTCGGCTACCTCTGCCAGCGCTGCGGTTATTCAATCACCTGTATTGGATTGCCGCTCGCTTCGCCCGACCTGTTCTCGTTTTGCCGTCATTTGTAATCGCCCAGCTTAGCAGTCCTCAGCCCATCAGCCTGTGTCACATTATGTCGGACATTGCGTCGCCTGAGTAGGAAAGCGAGATGGCATGCGCCAGCCGTAAGTCACATCTATGACCTTGAACTTACGACGACCGTAACAAATTAATACGTACATTTGAAATTTCGCCCGCGGACTTCGCAGCTTTTCACTTTCCACCTTTGTCATCCCGCCTATTACCATTTCAAATCGTCAGCTTGGAGAGTGAATTACCTTTGAGTGTAAAAACATTTTAATGGGATTGGTTGTGTTTTAACAAGCGTGAAAGTAATTGTTACCGTCCCTCGTGGTGAGCGTACGTCAGTGCAGGATTGCATCACGGCCACCCCATGTGGCCTTCTCGGGGGGTGGAGGAAATGAGGACAGGTCATTTGGCTTCGCGTGTCATGGATGTGTCCCAAGCTGTTTGAATGCATCATGCCAGAGGTTTTGCCAATACTCTGTTATGAGGAGGATCAAGATTAGCTAACAGTAATTGCACTATTCCAGGCGGTCACCCATAATGAGGTGATATGTGTCGTCATGCTAGCGTGAATCGAATACACCGGCCTGTGTGACAGCTAGGAGGGTGACAAACGCGGTAGTACCGAAGCGCAGGCCCTTTGTCGGAGGTTTTCACGATCTTCAGTCTGTCTCGTCGTCTTGCGCTCATGCCATTAAAATGTTGGTTTGCTAAAAATGTCATTAAAATGTTGCAATCTATGTAATGTCTAATTATGGCACAGATTGTTTGCAAAATCAGCCCAGTTTGTGAGAACATGAAGGACGTTGTGGCATACAATTAGTGAACTGGTTTCATGTAAACCACTGCGACTTTTGAAAGCCATTTTTTCCTGCGCCGCTAGCAACAACACAGCCAAAATTGTTGTTAAATTTAATGTTTTGCACATAACTATTTAACGTTTAGGTCTTCGGCAAATACGGACCGCTGTGAATACTCCGAACCTGCCATCCCGGCAGGGAAGCCTCAGCTGAGCGGAGTAACTCCACCAGTAGATATGAACGTTTATTTCTAGTTATAGTCTGTTGTGCTAGTAGTCAGGTATCTGACGCTCTACCAAACAGTAGAAGCGTATCCTCACATTCACCATAGTCGCTTTCAATATTTTACTGGGTTTTTCAATATTTGTATTGTTAGTTATGTTTATCAAAATTATTTCCCTTAGTATCTATATACGCTGCGTGCGTAGCTAGCGCACGCACACACACACACATACATGCACGCGTTCACCTACGAGCTCGCGCATAGTCAGGCTCGCATTTGCCCTCTCCAGGTCCGAGCCTGGCGTATATTATAGCGCCGCTATTTCGCTATGGTTTCGCCGCCGTGCCTTGACTGCCACTTCTCTGCATGCATGAGTGATGCGACGAGGGGTCGACCGAGCCGAGGATGGTTATCGGCATTCATGGATGCCGCTCGCCGGCGCCATGGGTGCGTTCTGTGGTCATGAATTACCGGCTTATTTATCCACTAGCTCAACGTTAAGCCCGGCGGAGGATGTGTGGCAAGACGAGCGCTGGGTGAATTACTGACCCGGGTTTCGCAGCCTGTTGGGTAGAGACGTGCCATCACTGGTTATCATTCCACGCCGTGACGTGGGTGGACGGTGATGGGTTAATGGGCGGGTTTCGTCGAATCGGAATCAAGCAGTTGAGGTCAGTGGTGGGCCAAGTTCAACGCTGGTGGTCTGGTCTAATCAGAAGTCATCGATGTTGGTCATGTCTGGTATGCATCGATGCGACACCTGTACGGAACCGAATCCATTAGTCGTATCCAGATCCGATCTGAAGCGGTCCCTTACTGCCAGGCCTTAATATGGATCATTTAGTGATGACCTGGTCTAATTTGAATCAAACATATTGACCAAGTTTAATGTCTAAATTAATTCCAGTGCCAGTGTTTCAGTGGGATTTGTCATTTACTCACAGTCATTTTCAGGACAGGCTTCTGGGGCCAAACACTGCGGGTATTATGCTCACCATTGTCGGGGATTACAAGCAAACACAGCTACCGATTCTGCACTAGATTTACCGCTGCTGTTCTCGTATTTTAATGCGTTTCTGGCACCGAATTATACCAACATTTGATTATTTTTCGGACCTTAAATGCTGGGTCCATTCATTAACCCTTGATGTACGATCACCTGAGAAGTTGGAAGAAACCGGTTTACTTGTACACATTTTCACACAAAACATTTTTCAAACCAATGACAAAAGGACAGGTCACCCAAGGTTGCAATGGGTAATCCTCTCTACAAGGCTACTGTGTGTAACCTGATTAAACTTAAACTTTCAACATCGTTAGCATGACTTGCACCTTCATTAAAGAAAGACAACGTTTGTTTTGATGTCAGCTTCAAACTTCTGTAGGCATTTTTACGGATGCTACAATGCCCCGAAGTTGACACATTGTTTGGATTATTTGTGAGGTAGTTAACGTCGTCCGTTACGTCATCAGTCATGGCCCAGATATCAACATAATGTTTTTTGACGTAAAAATGACAAGAGCTATCGACTTTCTTTACAATTTCTGCGGTCCGATAATTATATACTGAGATAATAGGCAGGGCTTCAATTAACCTCCAGGCGGCGACGGCTTGCGCAACACCTTAAACAGCACCGGGCTGAAATATGCCACGGGGTAACTAAAATACTGGCGCTGAGCCTTCGTAAAAATGCTTGGGATTGGTATGTTCTGAATCCTACCGCGCACGCGTCATTCAGCCAGGCTCATCGAAACATGACGGCAGTTTGGATCAAAAGTGCCGGAAGTTCAAACGAATTGCCAAGGTGTGTCGCTTAGCAACGATGGCCTCAGTAGTAACCGGCGGGTCAGGCAGTGGCAATGTTAAGTGAAGATCTTTCACGCACAACTCGGATTTCCGGTCCTTTCCTGACCACTCGTGTTCAGGACCGAGTGTTTTGTCCCGAATGAATTTCATATGAAACGAGTTTTAAATATCCGAAAAAATGTTGGGACTTGTTACATTTTGAAAGGTTGAAGCTAGTCGCATACTTGTTCATGTCATAGGCATTGCAATGCCGTCAGTATAAACACACAGGTGCTAAAATCTAACCAGCAGTTTTCGAACTGGTTTGGAGCTATCTTTGTAACACGTTGCTAGGATTTAAAAGGATTATGCCTGTAAGGAAAGTTTCACTTTCACGGATTATCACTGAAGCGAGGGCAATACTTTCAGCGGTAGCTTATGCCGAAGGTCGGTAAATTCGTCACTATCCACTGCAAGGTGGGCCTTTGGTCACTGCGTCGTTCTACTGTGACATGAATCAGCGCAGCGAT